AACAAGGTAAAAATAAAAATGGTTGTCCTTCGCAAGTATCACAAAATGTTACAACTTGTTTGGTTAAATTTCTTGCTATTTTTCTGCCATTCTGCGATAAGAAACAATCGCCCTAATATGTTTAAACATTTGCATCGAGTAAATTTTAATTTTCTAGTATTGTGCTTCGCATTCACTCAACGTGTTAAATAATAAAAGAGGTTTGTAAATAAAATTGTGATAGTTTGAAAGGCTCACCGATAGATCGAGCCTCCGGTAGGTAAAATAGCGTTGTTCTCCCTACGCCAGGAGATCCTGGGAGCAGGGAAGCCTCCGGCGTAGCATTCAAGCTGCACAGGCTGTCCTTCAGTGACTACCAAAGACCTGGTCGAGTTGTCGCTTATAATTGGTGGTCTGCGAACTTGCAGTTCAACATTTGCGGACACGTGATTGTTCAGAGATATTAGAATCTTGCATTGGTAGATCCCAGCGTCGGTCTCTTGAATATCTTTTATCTGAAACAGATTACAAAATTCATTATGAAATATAATATAAAATGTTCCTAGTTGGACGTTTCTGAGAATTTCCCTAGATTCTTTAATTATCAACTGAGTAAAAATACATAATTGAATTACCTGTAGTATGAAAGTAGACAGTGCATCGACGTACTTCAGGGAGAATCTAGTGTCCCTCACAATCAAAGAGCTACCATGTGAAAGGGGTAACTGGTCATTGACAACGTCTTTATTGATCTTCGTCCAGACGACTGGGAAATCTGGTGCATATTGAACAGAGCAACGAAACTCTACAGTCTCTCCTATGTCCTTAATTTGCTCCTGGGAGATGTAAGAGATTGTCGGTGTACGCTGGGTATTCACTGAAAAGTAATTCATTCGTATATAGAGAAATTATAGAATTCAAACAAACATGAAGTCCTTTCAATGAACTTCAAGTCAAATTTTAAAGCTACAATTGAACTTTACAGAAGAATCATGAAATTTTAATGGAGGAAGAGTAGGTGGAACACAATTCATTTATACATAAAAACCATAGAATTCAAATAAACACAAAACGCAAATTAGCTTCCATATTAAATTGAGTTCAAATTCTATGAATTAGAAAACTCATTTATACAACATAAATGAAAAATAATTCATTTATACATAATAAAATTAACAGAATGTTAATAAACAATAAATAAGCAATTCAGATTTCAACAAATCCTATTTAAAATTACTTAAGTTCAGTTAAGTCCTATGAGAGGATCAATGAAACCTGAAATACATAACACAAGAATTGTATATGAAAAATAATTCACGTTTATAGTGCAAAATTGCAGGATTCGAATTGTGATTTATTGATAGACTTCCATATAATTAAAAATAATTAGAATCGAAGGCAATTAAATTTTCAACAGGGGTTAACGGTATTGTATTCTCCATCAATTACGTTACAGAGTAAAGACTTAATATTGTTTGTGATTAACTTAGAACGATGGACGCAGTTTAAGTTCGATTAATTATTACTTACCTGTGCAGAGGAAGGCGAGTGGTAAAAATAAGTTAAAACTCTTCATTATGACACACCCAATAACAATAAGTATTATTCACTGCGACGCACAGCACCGTCTGTAGTCCTGTAGGTAAAAATGGCGACCGACGCTACTAACTCTAATCAAGCCAACCCCTAAATTTCATAAATTACAGTTTTAAATAGAAATAAGAAACCTTCTAATTTACTCAAAATTATTCTCATATTTTATTTAAGGTTTTAGCTTAAGTTTGTTGAATATAATTTGTTATTGTTATGGATTTATAATTATCTACTTGATTCGTGAAAT